CGCTTGTGAATGGGAAGGTCCTGTAGGGTCCTTAATGGCACTTTGAAGACAAGTGTGAGTCAAACTTTAGAAAGGAGAACCAGATAATATTGAGGAGTTGAGTGCATACTACAACATGGACCAAACATGAATGAGTGAGCTTGCGCACATACACAAGCACAGGAGCAAAATAAAAGTGCTGACTGACCAGGGATGTCTGATGGCATCTGGCTAATGTCTAAGTGAAGGGACAAGCCTGTCAGAGCCTGTGGACGGTATTATTGGAAATATGTCTTTAATGGACACTAGGGACTATAGAACAGAACAGGGAAAACTACAGGACTGGACAGTGAAGAAAGAGTGTCGTCTCAATGAGAAAAGCTTGCAAGCTCTTAAAGGTGGGGTAAGCGATTTTTCAAAAACGCTTTAGAAAACTGATTCAGGCCGAGTAGCAAAACAAACTTGTAGCCAATCAGCAGTAAGGGGCGTGTCTACTCATGATGTGGAGGAGAGAGCGTTCAGTGCACAGGACGGACATTAGCCGAGCGACAGAAAGATAGAGATGGCGGATAAAAAACAAAAGAGGAAAACGTCTGCGGAACAAAAGAAGGCTTAAGGTAAGAAGTAGAACCCGTGTAAATATCGGATCAGCCGCCAGAACTGCTTCAGTGTATGACAGTCAGACTGCAATGACAGAGCTTGAAATAGCCAGGACAATTTTTTATATAACTCCGACTGGATTCGTCTGAAAGAAGAAAGTCATATACACCTAGGATGCTTCGAGGGTAAGTAAAACACAGTCTAATTTTCATTTTTGGGTGAACTAACCCTTTAACAGCATATGGAGAATCTATTACCTAGGGTGTATTCACACCAGGAAAGTCCGCTAGTTGGACCAAATACAATGTTTATTTTTTTTGATTGGTGCGGTTTGCTTTCACACTGCCCTTTTTGCAAGTGAACCAGAAATTGTAAACCTAAGGTCTAAGGTCATCCATTCACTGGACAGAAATTCTCAAGCAGGGAAAACAGGAAGTGTGTAAACAGGTTAATCATGGAGATCGTTCGTAGAGCAATTTTGATTCTTTTACTGATTTGGTGTTATCAGATACTAACGCAATATGAAGAAACTTATGAGCATGAAGCATGTTGTAAGTACGATTTGCCAAAAAGAAAATCTATAGATAAAACACTTAAAGCATATCACAATGTTAGTTTAAACATTGAACCTAGATAAATGTGCGCTATTAGGCACATATCCAATCGTTTGTGCGGAGAGTGAAAGCTGAAGCGCGCTTCAGGACATCAGTGGAAACAAATGAAATACGCTGTCATTTTTTCTCATACAGGTAAGAATAATACATCGTTCGGAAATGTAAAGGGTCTACTTTTATTTGTGTGCACTCACAATATCAACAAAACGTTGTGCTTTTGTAAAATAAAGAAAACAAATAGGATGCGCTTGCCGTCTCGGTGTTGAACAGGAGCGCTTCACAAAAATGAACCAAAACTTAGCGAATATTTTCCTTACAGACATGATGAATATCTATAGAAAGCTTTAAATGACCACAAAACGAAATAATTAAAATCCAAAAAACTCTTTTATTATGTAATCCATAAAGATGCATTTCTTTTCGCGTCCAAGATGAGATGGCGAGTCAGGATCATCAATTTCATATTTGCGACACTGACTCAGAAAACACTAGTTATTTAATAAATTCAAAAATCTCCCTACTATTTTCCCCCAACATATTCATGGTAACTGTTTAGCGCACTCACGTCACATTTCTGTGCGCCATGGTCACAAAAACTCATCATTTGCATGCATTTTAAGCATTGTGGTTTAAAAACAAGTGATTTAAGCCATTGAAATGCAAACAACAGCACTACATGTGCGAGCTGTATGTTTCTGAGTGTGATTTCTGCAATTGGGTCGGATCATATTCACACCTTAAACAAACTGTACCAGAGTTCGTTTGGAAGCGGACCGAGACCACCTCTTCAGATGGGTCTCGGTATGGTTGTTTGGTCCGCACCCGAGTGTGATTGCTGTATTCACACCTGCCCAAAAGATCCGCACCAAGGCGGGAAAGGAACTTGAGTTTGATTCAATCGAACCAAACAAGACAGGTGTGAATACACCCCTAGCCTAACTCACAGTGCTTTATGGCAGTGGGCTGTTTTTTGGCACAATTTGCTTGTCATCACTCTCTGATTGCTGGAGATTTCTTTACAAAGTAATGGATGTAATATAGTTTTTCACCTCTAAGTCAGGTGTTAAACATGATTATTTAAAAAAAACATTGGAATAATGCAGACTGCTGACTATAACAAAGACTAAAGCCCTATTCGGACGGGACTAGTTTTCCAAACGACGTTTGAGTTACAATTCTATCAGCCGATGTCTGTGATTTCATGTATGGATTCGGACGGGACTAACATCTCCGTGTTTATCACCGAGGTAGGAGTGTCTGTGTTTTACATGTAGGCGTTGCAGAAGATCACGTGTTCAGGATGCGTGGATTGCGTATGGTCATATGACCGATCAATGGCAAGTAAACATTTGTAAAATTGTAATTTTAAAAAAACTAAACATAAATTTAACAAGATTTTATAGAACTGGGTTCTTATAATAAACCCACTGTAATAAAAAAGTTTTAACTTATATAATTTGCACGTTATGTAATTGAGTGCAGAAATTAAAGTAATCTTACCTGACCTTAACAGTTTACGTGATTTGGCTCTTCTTGTTGATTTCATTTTTTAATTTCTTCGCAGTATACCAAACACATCTACATCCATTATTGGTGCGCAGAAAGCAAAAACTTGAATACCGGCGCGCTAGCGAGAGATTGTACGGTAGTTCACGTTGACCAAAACACACAAGAAAAAGCGTTTTGGAAAAACATTTTTGGCAATCACAGACATTCGCATTCGGACGGGATTACATTTCTCTGAGGCCCACCGAGTTTGCCGAAAAACAGTAGGTAATTTGCTCTGGATTTTTTTTTACAGAGGTCGTGTGAAAAAAAGACAGACATGGTAGATTCGGACGGGATTAAAATCTCAAAGTACGTCTGTGAAACAAAAATTTCTCTAACGTCCCCCTGTAAAACTAGTCCCGTCCGAATAGGGCTATAGAGCATCTGTTAACCTTGTAGCTCACAGTAGGTCTCTCTTTAATCTTTTATAAATTATCGTTAAAAATCAATTCCCCCATGGAGAAAATGAGTAGGATTTCTACTTCCGGATCCCAACTGTTGCACTCTATACAGAGAACTATTAGTTTTTTTACACTAAACTTTACACTAGTTTTTTTACTTCAGTTACTAAAATTACTTTGATAGAAAATGATATAAAACTACATATTATAACATACGACGTCATCTGTAATATATATTAACACTTGTGAAAATGCCATGTCTTCACATGCCCCATTTCCCTTTATGAATAATCTGTGTTATGACAGAATGACACCTTGAATGAGAAATATCCTTGTAGCCGGCACCAAAACAACATCCCTGTCTGCTGAAAAGGACACAGAGCACACAAATGTCAAACTCAACATTCTGTTGTGATGACAGGTTAATAATACCATGGAGGAATAAATGTCACATACAAGCCTTCTAAAACATACCGGAACACATTCCATATATGCACTAAAACAAAAGCAATGTGTACACAAAGCTTGTTATTGTTAGACTCTAGTTTATCAGTAACCATTGGCCTGGAAAGACATCGCCCTATCCATGCCACTCTATCTCGTTTTTATTTTTTCCTTGTGCTGGTCTGTAGTCTACGCAATCTGAATCCCTATCTAAAGAACTCAAGTAACCTTTGACCAAAATGACACAAACAGTTTCAGTTGTTACTCAAAAGAAATAAACAGAAGGAGTGGGTGGTTTCTGTGTTAATTCTTGCGTTATCCTCATTCCCTCCTCACACGAAACACTAACTAGTTGGTCAACGACCAGAAGTGCCTAACTACTACACAGCATGTGCCTCTCTCACAGAAAATCAATGTTAACTACAGACAAGTCCACTGCTAAAACTAGTGTGCTTTTTCCAAGCCAAGGGATCAGTCGATATCAGGTCTTATATGTAGGCTGGATAATAAGCAACCTCCAGTTTCAGACATCTAGAGGAGTCGTCTTGAGAAGGAGGGCACAAGTGGAGATTGTATTGGCAGATGGCAGCCTGAAAGAAACCCCTCTTGATGGCTTTAAGACGGTTAAGCCTATTGTGTACTGCCAACATCTAACAACAATATTTAGGAAACGTATTCTAGAAAATTTATAATTCCATCTGACCTTTAAAACAAACTGAAATAACACAACTGGTTCAACAGCAGCATAAAACAAGACTTAATATACATAATGAAAACAAACCGCCTGTTTAAACTGAGCTTCGCGGACTGGGTTGTTGTTAACAAGGCGTCGTTATGTAGAAGTAGTAACAGATTAAAATAAAAATAAAAATGTAACTCTCCAAACATGTGGGCATTACACGTGTAACACTTCTACACGAGGCGTGTATAAAGTACTGTTATAGCAGAATTATATTTCAAGTGTAAATTTAGTGTTTTCCTATTCTGCTTGATACATAACATTTTTGTATAAATTATAGTAAAATAATTACAAATAAATTAACCTATTTACAATAAAGGTATTTATTAACATTTTTGTTCTATCAAATGGGAATTTATTCAATTTAGTTTGAGATAAGTAACTATCTCAGTAAGACTTCATCATTTAGATTTTGAAATTAGTGACCGTTTTTTTTTCCTTCAACGAAAAACCTTTAACTTCGATTATACTGACTACTTTCGCCAATTTGGTTTATAGTTGAAAGTACATCTGAAATGGTAACATTATAAAACTCTGATATAACACAATCTAAATGGTGAATGAAAATGAAATAAGTTAAACAAAAAAAAACTTTTGAAGAAAGGTAACGTTAGCGCGCGAGCAAACGGAGCCCGCAGAGCTCCGGGGGAAAAAAAAGACAAATTTAAAATGTACCTGCGAGGAGAATAACATTGAATAAACAAAGGCAGGACGTCCTCAAATCCATTCCTCTGCTTTTAAGCCACATTTTAGTAACCGGTGTGGGTATAAAAACAACTTTTCCCCCCGACTTGTGATGTTTCGTGTTCACTCCTTTCGCCAGTCTCGCGCAGCATCAGAAGTCCACCAGCTCGCTCGCGCAGGTGGATTGCGGCTGGAATCTGCACACGTGATTTCCGGAGGTATCAGCTGGAGAACTGTGAGGGGTTTTACGCCCTCTTGCGTACACATGCTCCAAGAGTCTCTCCTCACATAATGTACAGTGTTGGGAAGGTTAGTGGAGACCGGGGGCTATTGTAACATTTTTTTTTTTACATTTTCTTTCATAACTCACAGACTACTTGAAATAAGCTTGTCATCTTTTGATACAAGAAACAAATATAGGTGCACTAATTAACAATACAATTTATATATTTTCACTAATAAGGACAAGACTATAATATTAAATTAAATGCAAAAGTCAGTGTTACAACTACCCCCACAAAATGTAGTTTTACATTTAAATATGTTAATTTTCTAACAGAAAAGTATGTCAGCACAGACAAACAAGGTGCTTACACTGGGCCATGTGGCTCTGGAGAAATGTTACAATTGCCCCCGATGTTACATCCATGATAAAATCTATATGCTAGCTTGCCACACCTATATTAGCATAGGTTTTTCATGTTAATTTTTTTATCAATAACCTAGAGATAAAATGTATGGAAGTTCAAATTTGCAGTCATCTAAACTTTAGACAGCAGAAAAAAAAATACTGCACATCCAAAAAGTAACTTTTATACCTCAAAATCAGTTTTCTGTGGAAAAATTCTGCTGAGGTGAAACAATTGTATTCCTTTTGCATGGGCAGAGAGAGAATGTTACTGAGCATGTGCATATTAAGTGTCATATCTCTAACTTGTTTCTGATTGGAGGAATTTAATGTGTTACAATTGCCTCTTTGGAAATGTAATAGGTTACAGATTACAAGTTACCCTATTTAAAATGTAATAAGTAGTGTAACTATTTCAATTACTTTATTAAAATAATGTAATTGATCACATTTGATTACTTTTTGAGTACTTTTCTAATTTTCTAACAAATGTTTTCAACTGTTAATCATTTTGAAAGGTTTAAAGCAGGCGGGGTTATCCTTACAGTAGTACTCAACACTGATTACCGTCAGACTTACTTCTTCACTAGAATTAATATTATAATAATTTAATTTTAAAACACAGCCACCACAAAATCAGACTTTAGCACTTTTTTTTTTTACCTTGAGATCGTTCTGAGGTTAAATACAGATTTAAAATCATAAGATATAGTTTAATAGCTATGATACCGGTTTTGAAATCAAATCCTTGCATAGCTATGACAGGAAACACTGGCATCTAACAATGCCTTGGAAAAAACTCAAATAGGAAACAAAACAGTTATCAAATAACCATTAGGGTGGCCCTTATTTTTGGACTTTTGAAATCTTTTGCTCTCACCCACCCAGTCAACTCCCCTTCATGAGAAATGGAAACAAACCAAATTTTGCAGAGATTGGATTGTTTTGGGTGTGCTCAACAAAGTTGAAATTCTGTCATAATGACCATAAGAGCACGCTATTAATAATTATACAAAACCACTAGTAAACTGTACAGGGCCACAGAACAGTTAGTTTTAACATGTTAAATTACATTGGTGCCGATAGCCTTGTGGGTAACACTCTGACATGTAGTGCCATTGCACTTCAGAGGTGTCCCACGTTTGAGTCCTGGCTCATGGACCTTTCCTTTCCTTATTTTCTTCCTTCATAAGCCTGGCACAGCCCCAGCATAACTTTTAATAGTGGCATAAGTCAGGTATATTACTCATGCACGCACACTCAGTATAACCATTTGAGGATATGAAAACATAGTGTACAAGTATTACATAGTTTTATGATTTATTGCCAGTCGCATCTTTTTTGAGGATTATTACTTATTTGAAAAATTAATCAATAGCTATTGATAACTCTTACTCAAATACTCTGTATGGAAAAATAAGCAAAAATGCAGGTTTGTGGTAGTTTTTTTAATGCAAACTAGACCAAAAAAAATATACATATGAACAGTATTCATAGAGAAGCTTATAGAAAAACTTTTGACATTGTAGCAGGGTGAGGCACTCGATAACACACAGAAACCAATATGAGCGATGCTACAACTGACACAGATCATACAACTGGAGTATCCGTCTGTTGAATGTCTTGTCATAGACACTTCCTTTTGAATAGTTATAACCATCACAGCTGACAACACAAACATCAGTGAACAAACAATACAAGAATGCAGCACGCTTTTGCATTTATAGTGATAAAAAAAAAAGAAGGTCAAATTGACAAGTTCAAATGGTAAATGGTAAAGTTTTAAAGCTCTGGTGTTCCCAGTATACAGATAATATGGACCCATCAGCAAAGCTAAAGTAGTTTAAAAATCAAGCAGAACTATTTCTCCCTGCATGACTTTAAGTGTTAAGCAGCATCAGTGTAAGATATGCAACAATTAAATACCTCTTTCTAATACAGCCTATAGTTTGGTCATAATGAAGTCATCTCCCTGCCAGCATACCATCGTACTTGCTTAAACAGAATTTGGCTACATCAAGAATTTGAAAAATACAGTAACAGGATGCTGTCTAATTTATTCATATTTTTTTTGTTTAAAGCATTAGGTTGATAACTACCGCTCTAACAACAACAACAACAAAGAACATAATAACAGTGAGCATGACAAACTGTAGTGATGGATAAATTAAAAGCTATTTGGCTCTATCCCTGTAGCTAATGCATATTGTTTAATTATATCATAAATTCTGCCTCTACAAAGATTGGCTCAATGATAATATTAATTTTCCCAAATTGTTTACTGTCCTCGTTTAGAAGGAGGCACAAGATGATCAGGAAGATCAGCAGGTAACTCGTGACCTTCCAGTTTAACCTTGATGAGGTGGTTAGCTAAGGCAAACTCTTCGTCGTCCAGGTACCCATCATTATCCACATCAGCAAGCTTCCAGATCTTTCCTAGAACATTGTTAGGCAGCTTGGATTTGACCATCTCCTTCTTAGCCATGGCACCAGAGACCTTCCCGTTGACAGGTGACAGGGTATAGAAGATCTCGTCGTAAGTTGGCTTGTCTCTTGCCACTATCCACTCCAGCTCATCAATGCCTTCTAATATTAATTTTCCCAAATTGTTTACTGTCCTCGTTTAGAAGGAGGCACAAGATGATCAGGAAGATCAGCAGGTAACTCGTGACCTTCCAGTTTAACCTTGATGAGGTGGTTAGCTAAGGCAAACTCTTCGTCGTCCAGGTACCCATCATTATCCACATCAGCAAGCTTCCAGATCTTTCCTAGAACATTGTTAGGCAGCTTGGATTTGACCATCTCCTTCTTAGCCATGGCACCAGAGACCTTCCCGTTGACAGGTGACAGGGTATAGAAGATCTCGTCGTAAGTTGGCTTGTCTCTTGCCACTATCCACTCCAGCTCATCAATGCCTTCACTAGCACCCTCTCCATAGCCATGCCCGAAGGGTCCATTCATGGTGCCGTCAAAGGCACCACCCTGGACAGCCTGGCTGGGCATGGCAGCCTCCTCCTGCCGAACGAGGGTCATGAGTTTGGCGATATCATTGGCCAGCATATCCTCCACTGCTTCCAGCAGCTTGGGCTTCAGTCCCTGAAACTTAGTGAAGTCTTGACCAGCAAGGACTTCCTAATAATGAGGACAAAAAAAGATGTCAAAAAGGTCTTTTCTATCCTTATAGGGTGTGATCATATTTTTTAAACTAAAACTATTCTTAATAACTAAAATAAAACTAAAATCATTGCATAAAACAAGGCTAAACTGTTATAAAACAACTACCTCTCTTAAAACTTGATACTTTATTATTGTATTGTATTTTGAAACTCCTAACAAAAATTTTATATTAAAATCATTTTCTGGGAGAGATGGGACTATTTCCATACCTGCATTTTACTGAGTTTAGGGAAATCACCAGGAGAGATCTGATGTTCTTTTTCAATCCTTGCATAAACCTGTTATCTGGAACCAGGAGAGGCTGAGCCCAGAAAGAGCCAATGTAGACTCGGATGACCTCTGGGGTGTTGACGATTTTACCAAGCGACCACATGAGGGCACCATACACCCGCATGAGCTGCTGGGTCCCGATCTGATCAGCTTTGTTGAGCACCACCCGCATCTTGTCCTCATGATTTTTCAGAGCTCGGATCACCTCTGAGAACTCATCTGAGATGTCCAACTTGTGTGCATCAAAGAGAAGAATAATGCGGTCCACACGTTCAGCAAACCATTCGAGCACTGCAGCAAAGTCATAACCTGCAACAGAGATGAGACATTTTTTCACATTAATGAGCAAAAAGTAATTCAGTTTACTGCAAAAGGAACTTGTTTGTGTATGTGAGCCTCTCTGATAAACCACAACCCAACACTTCTCTTTCTAGCCAGATAAAGAGCAGTACAACAGTCAACAGATGTGTAACCCTAGAACTTCCTGATCTGGCCCACATCACTCCACAAAACCAACTAGACACAAACAAGCACCAATCCACAAACAGGCCAACTCACACAATACAAAATAAAATGTGGTTTTCCTGTCTAAGGAAACCCTTCACGTAACAGAACCCATCTCCTTCTCATCAGCCCTCTTGCACGACAACGCTATTGGCTCATGAGGGTGGAGTACAGCTGGCCTTTCACATGAGAAAAAAAAATGAAGAGGCATCTAGTTCACTACAGCCGAACTGACATCACATCCACTCAAGCTGACAAACAGGAAAGAGAATAAATTGTCCCACAGACACTCCTTCCTCACACTCCTTCCTCTCCCATGGTTGGTTATTTTCTTGCATAATGGTTTAAAGGATCACAGGGAACAATGGAAATCCGATTCAAATGTTTTGACAGTAGTCAAGGAGATGACGATGTGTCAAAAATAATTTTAAGATGCTGGGATATGAAACGAATGGAAAAAGTATGTGTACGCCACAAGAAATGCTAGAGATTTTCTCTTGGGTATTTTGGCGTCTTCAAGAAGCCAAACGCACAAGCTGCATGCACATTTTTACAAGGGGGCCAGCATAAATATTGCTAGACTCCACAAATTCGGGTCACTTGCCAAAAAGCTGCTTATGAGATCTTGAGGGCAAAGGTTTAATCTTCAGAGATTTCTCTATATGCAATAATACAAATGCTAAAGCCAGGATTTCCGGCCCAACTCTCTTGCTTACTGAGACAGAAGTTACCATTTTCTGTTTGGATTGTGTAGAGAGTGTGTGGAAGACAGGAAAGACTGCGTCCCAGCTCACAACAGTTGTGTCAACGTCAGCAGGATGTGAAATCTGGATCTGAATCCAACATGGGCGTGATCTCACTGATTCAGTGCTGTACTTTATTCACTGTTATCCATGATCACAACACTGATGGCAATACTGATGAAGCAGGTCTATTGAATTATAATATATGATACTATAATCCATAATATAAAATGTAATCTGCCCTCAAATAATTTAACAAAAAAAACTGAAATGTAATTAAACAAAATGGAAGAAAAGAAGCAAATACACTGTACTCATTTGACCTGAACTTATTTGGTATAGCTACCTAAAATGCATTTTCTTTTTCCCAGCAGTTATGAATTTACTGTGGGTATATAAACAACAAAAGAAGGCTTATTAAAGGCTTTTTATGCATATAAATCAGTATTCTTTTTCAGCAGGATCTATTTTCGCTGAAGAACTTTTCCAAAAGAACTTAAATAAAAATTGCCCATCCATAAATAAAAAAAAACAAAACAAAAAAAAAAGTGTCACTTTTTTCTCACAAAAAAAGTGAGAGACACTTTTTTTATGGATGGGCGATTTTTATTTCAGTTCTTTTGGACTGCTGATGTTCTTTTTCAATCCTTGCATAAATGTCACCCAGGTTAGCAATGAGCTCCTTTTTCTTATTCTCTTTCCCAAAAACATTTGGCATTTCTTTCTTCAAAGCACTGATGATGTAGGCATGAACCTAGAGTTAGAGAAAACCGTTTTGTCATAACATATAATATTTAAAATAAATCAGTGTTATATGGCTATATTAACAATTTGAAAAAAATCTTGAAAAATAATATTAAGATATCATGCAGCAAAAACAGTGATAACATTCATAATAATAAGAAATGTTCCTTGAGCATCAGATCAGTATATTAGAATGACTTCTGAAGGATCATGTGACACTGAAGACTGGAATAATGGCTGCTGAAAATTCAGCTTTGTCATCCCAGGAATAAATGACATTTTAAAAAGATATTAAAAATGTAAAAACTTTTTTTTTTTTAATCCATATAAATCTATAAAAATTAAATATATATAAAGGAAAACGATGAGCAGGAAGAAGAGTCTTAGATCGTGTCTGGGGTGACAATTAAGTGATCACATGAGGGCAGCATATACCAGATAACTAATCCAATCAAAAACCGTAAAAAGTACTTTCAATTTTAAGTATGTGTCATTAAACAGCTTGAAAGATCAGACAATTTTTTATATAACTCCGACTGGATTCGTCTGAAAGAAGAAAGTCATATACACCTAGGATGCCTCGGGGGTGAGTAAAACGCAGCCTAATTTTAATTTTTGGGTGAACTAACCCTTTAACTACACTTTAACTAGCAGACACTGATAAGCTGACTGTATATACACACACACATCAATGTGGCTGGTAAAGATATTTTACTCTATTTTTCCCTAATGATATGGCTTTTCTAGTTCTTTGCTTGCTTTCCTTCTAATACTTTCCAAAAAACATATCCTTGTGTAAACTATGGGATATCCTTGTTTACATAAGCATGCCATAGTAATCATGCTTGTTCCTGCACTAAAATCTGTGCAAGTGGGCACACAAATGCTGCAATTAATAAAAGAAAATTAAGTCACAACATTGCTAATAAAGACAATTTTATCAAGACTAATTTAATTTCCCTTTTGCTGATGCAGTTATGGTTAAACAAAAAAAAGTTGTCACTCATTTATTCAATTCACGAACAAACAAACTAAAGCAAATGAATGAACAAACAACAAAGGCACAGATGAATGAATGAATGAAGACAGACTAAATGACCGACTGTCCATGCAGGAAACACTGTTCAGATAAGTCAATATAACTGTTTGGAAACAAAAAACACACAAGCTGTCTACAAAGATGCCGGTTGTGTGCATATTATGTACAGTTAATACAAGGTTGGGACTTTTAAATAAAGTTTACACATAACACAAAGATCTTACCAACAACCCTTAAATAGACATTTGGGTTCATGCTGGTCTGAAGGTTGGAACAAATGTCCGTTTAAAAAAAAAAAAAAAAAAAAAAAAAAAAAAACCACAAAAGACTGGCTCAGTATGGAGAGCTAATCTTCAGTATTACCTCCACCCTGCTAAAATCAAATCCAGACATTGACCCACAATCTCTCACACATTACACAAAGACATTATGAGATATTGAGGCATGCATAGATGTAATTTAACAAGGTTTCAATAAAGGTTAACAGTGGAATCTCTACCTCAAGACCCTAGAAACAACTAAAAAATAATTAACTGAAAAGGTTTAGTGTTTAGTAATGTCTCCCATTACTGCCCTGCAGTATCTCTGCAAAAAGGTTTGCTCATCATAACATATTAATTAATAAGTAGCAGCTGTTTCTAAAACAGATGTTAATGTTGCTTAGCAGACATCGACTGTATAGCTGATTCACACCAGATAAATTGCTACAAACTGAAATGTCCTTACAGCTTTGACATGGAAATGTCTTGCAGTTTCATCTTAACATTAAATAAGAATAACAATAAAACGCTTAAATACTCCTCAAAAGTCTCTTTGTAATGCACATCATACATTTGACAGTACAGACTCCAGGCATAGGACCACTGCACTGGTGGTGCTATAATTTCAGTTAACTAGTATTAACCCAACAACTGTCTTCATGATAACTGATCTTAGGTTTTTTTTCCCCTCAATCCTGATCCAGCATAGACCTGTATTTGAAAAAAGTCTTTAAACCCACTGATCTCTTTTTTCCACCTTTGAAAACTAAATTAAACATACTTTTCATAGTAATATACCATCAGCATGAATGTGAAGAATATGGGAGGGGGCCTGGAAAAGATGTGTGCATTCATTTGTGCTTGGAAGGAAATTATCCATTTCCAGTACCAGCCCATTTAAATGTGGCACCTCCACAAATTCCTGGAAAGCACAGGGAGAGGAAGAATGTAGAAATCTGAAATCTGCTATAAATGATCTCTGTAAAGAATAGTACATTCTCAAGGGATCTATCACACTGAAATTAAGTAAAAAGAAAGATCACTTAGGGATTCTTCATAAAAAGAAGCATTGCTTTACACAGAAGATTACAGCATGTAATTATGACAAAAGACATAATGCATGCCCTGAAAACTGCACAGCGACCTAATCTAGCCTATTGACACAAGAGGTTCATTATTCTCAACAGATGTGATTTCAGATAAATAAAAAAAAATAAAAAAAAAGAGATAGAACACTGTAATAATTAACCTAAGTCTATATAGTAAAGCATTATGGGATGCTATCAGTGAGGAAATTCAACACCCTGCCAAGGCTACTCAGCCATGAAGAATTAATGCAGGCACTGTGTACAGTAAACAGGAGAGAAGAATAGAGCCCTGTGGAACACCACCCAGTTTAAGAAATGGACAGACACAGTGCAACATTGTGCACACAAAGGAATCACCATGAAATTTGTGAATCTATGTTAAAAATAACTAAAGCTTAAAGTTCATATGTTGACTGTTATAATTTTTTTTTTGCATTCAATCAAATGAAACTGATAAAAGGAAAATAAATGTACAGTAATTGATACTTCTAATATCAAAACCATCTCTAGTCTAGATAAAACAAGATCTGAAAAATATTGAGGAAAAAAAACAAATAGGGAATAGCCCAGTATGAAGCAACCTGACTTAAAGTACATATTATGAACATTCATTTTGAAGTGTCTTGTCGTTAACTGCTTGTAAGGCCTAACTGAAGTCAGAGGGAAGGAGAACGACTGTAAAGTCAGCAGACTGTAGAAGATTATTAACTGACCTCACAAAGTTTATGAATAAGCAGGACATTTTTGAGGGACGATGACCGAACCTGTAAGATTGAAAACATGACATATTATCAAAACTATTATAAAGTATAAAGTGTACGTGTGTGTATATATGTAAATATTAATTTTGTTCACGTTTTGTTATGTTGCTGCCTCATGTTAAACTGCTTTAAATTCCTTTTTTCCACATCAATCTACACTCCATACACCA